GGGAAGACAATCTTCCTGCATTCCTATGACCTTCTAGGTGTTTTCTGAGAAAGGGTTTGAGCACTCCCAGTGCAATTCCCTAATATCTTTTATATAAAAATGGCAGGGTCACAACATTACAGCTGACAGCACTGTCCTCCCACAGAGATTTATGTTTTGTAAAAATATGTCAATGACTATTGTAGTCATGCCTCCGGTGGCCAATACTTCTTGCTGCTACCTAGTTATAAATAAAATTAGAGGAAACAGAACTACAATATTAGCAATGGACTAGTGGATTAACTATTAATTTCTTTTAAAAGTTGTAGCATCTTTATACTTTCACAGATTGAGAGGGGCATATCCAGCCTTTCCAGTACAGTCTTCAAAATAAACTCAGAGGATTTTTAATGTGGAAGGAAAGGTGTAATATTGCCATTATTCTTAAATAAGCTTCTTGTGTGCATGTTCTTGTGAACAAGTATTGATTTGACATTCCTCTGGGAAAAAAAATGACTAACAATGGTAAATATTTGAGTCAGTTGCAGATATAAATCATGCAGCTATGAAAGGATTTTAAGTTCTTTTTCAAAGATGCTTCCAGAGATCATAGAGAAAAAGCTTTAAAAGACCCTCCTTTAAGACTAACACAAGGAAAAGTCTAGTGACTAAAGTGTTTCTGTTTCTGCAAGGGCAAAATGGGCAGGCTTTTTGATAATGGTCATAGAAGAATTTTGTTGCACTTGCCTTTCTTTGTTCCCTGGCAGAGAACTGGTGGTGGAAGCTACCACAGTGTCTCCTCCCTCACTACGTTTAGCCTTAGTGGCTTGGGAAGGAAGGCCTGTTCGCTACCTCACTAAGCTGAGACCTAGCAGTGTGAGAAGGAAAGTTTTTTGAAGGTGTTGATTCTCCTGGTTACCACTGCAACTCTCCTAATACCCAAAGTTTAATTTAGGCAAGTCCTTTAACCTAGAACTTTGATATCTTCAGCTGTGAGATTTTTTTAATGTATAAAACATATTTTTTTAATACGCTGGTGGCTTCAAAATGCAGCTTGCCTATATGATCCAATACATTTCAAGGGTTGAAAAACAGAATGCAAATAAACAGACTGTTTATTCTGCAACTCTCTTTTATAGCATTCTCATGTTTTGTTTGGATTGGCAATGTTGTCTAGAAAGACACTTGAAAAATAAGTGCCTCACATAGTTACTTTGGCTGTTTTACTTATTCTATGTAATCAGCAGAAGATGGGAAAGCAGAAGCAGTGTGTGTGTCCTAAAACCTGTGAATCTTTAAATGACTAGAAATAATTGGTCCCTTCTACAGCAATTGGTTATTATGCCCACTAGTTCATAGTGATTAGATCTGTAACAGATTAATTTTCCATATAATACTTCTGAAACTACTTGTAATACACAGCTATTCTTTGTTGCAGAGCTTCAGGGCTGCTTTAACCTGTGCTCTACAAAGAGAAACTAATTCAAGGCAGTGGTCCTGCATGCACAGACATAATCTAATCTTGCATGGCTGTCAGTCCAATGCAGCTGGAAATTATGGGGAAGATGATCCTTTACGTCATCTCCCTTTCGCTTTATGCTTCAGAGGCAGGTCTGCCAAGGATTTCTTGGAAATGAGCAAAAAGATGAGGGTATGCTAAAATCTTTCCACAGGGTTATAAAGATATATGTGAGTAATAAAGGACCCTGGTTCACATACAGGATTGACATACCTGGGACAACAGGAGGGATCCTGACACCTCAGCTGTCGTGTCTTCCCTCTCTGGTGGGAAGTCATCTCTGCTTGAGGAGTGGTTCTGGTGTTTCTGAGAGATCAACAGCCACAGTTTTTATAGTCTGTGCTTTAACGTAAACAAAAAATCAGCACTGCTTTTCCCTGTTGCTTCAGGCTGTAGTATCTTAAAAGGTTCAGTAGCTGCTACACAAGGAGGTGAGCCTGTGTGGATAGCAACTCCCAAGGGAAACCAGTGCGGCTACAAACACAGTCCAAGGATAACAATGGATTATAAGGGAAAAACAGTAAATTAAAATGGTACCAAGAATGACTTTGAGACCCAGTGGCAATGGAGTGAGGGTAACATAATGACCATGGAGTGAGGATGCAGATTTTTCAAATTCACAGAAGCATGAGCTCAGAGCCATCATCATCTTGTTTAAAAATCTCCTTCTCTTGCCCTGGTACAATTATTTCCAACAAGTCCTCTCTTACTATCTATCCCTTCCATCACATTAATTATCCTCACATTTAACAAAATACGCAAAAACCAAAAAGGCAGTACTGATCTCCTACTTATTGGAAATGGTTTTTCTGTTGAATATTGTGCTAACTTCCCACAGTATTGCGTGATCACTAGAAATATATTTAGTTAGTGCACATTCTGTTTAAATATTCAAGATTATTTACATCTATACCTTTGTATTATGTATATGTTACATTAAAACAAAGTCATATTCACCCTATTCTGTTCATTAGAGTAAATATGCATCATGTATACTTCCTTGATTAAATTCAGAGTAAGTATGTCAACGTTTTAGCACTGTGTGTCCTCTAACTTGTCTTCTGTACCCAAAAACGTGGTGAAACTGATAGAGTGGGCTGGACCGGGCAAGAGTGAATTGAATGTCAGTGAGGAACTACTTTAATCCTCATGAAAATGCCACAGTTGTGATAAAGCTCCTTCCCCATCCTGCCAGGTCCATAGCAGTGGTTTGCAGAGGCAGTGTCAAAGAGTCCAGTCCTCTCTGAACAGGTTCCTTTAGAGACTCCACACACGGAAGGTTTTACGTTTGATACAAAATTTACTTATCTGAAATTTTCTGAAGTTACTGTCAGGGAGCATGGAGGACCAGGTGCTCCCAAAGGGACAGGAGCTGGAATCCATGGGCAACAACCTGACTGGCATGACAGGGGCCTCACCAGCCAGGGCTCCTGGTGATAAGGCAGGTCCTCAGGGTGGGATGAGGCCCCATGAAGGTAACCAGAGTCAGAGATAGTCCTGGGATGACTAGATGGGGCCATTGGGACAGGCCAAGGCCAGGTCAGGGTGCCAGGCCATGACATGATTCAACTCTGTACTTAAATCCCAATATAAGTGAAAATTACATTTAGCAGAGTAGAGCAACTGAAATACAAAGTCGAATCACTTTACAAATGTGTTTCTCCTTGCCCATTGCTGTAATATGCTCACTGTCTTGATGCTGGGTGTTCCCAGCTGCCAAGGAGAAATATGTGGGTTGAAACCAGCTCAAGCCTCTCGCTCTTTTCCAAGTTCTTTGTTGTTCAGTTTTCATGGGCCATGTACACACACACAGCCCTAGAGCTGGTCTGGCTAACTCAGGAAGCATTTGCGCTTTTTTTATTAACTTGGGGACAAACAGTTACACAGCTGGTTGGTTTACTCAACTAATGCAACCATTTGTCTAGAACGGAGGTCACCCTCCCGTCCCCTTTGTGCTAAGTTCAGCTTTCTTTGCAATATCTGTGGTCACTCACTCTGCATGCTCTTCCTGGACATATCTTGGTGGTACAGAGTTCTTTCTGAAGCTGAATTCCCATAGAGCTGGATAGGACATTGATTTGTTCCTCTACTACAAAACAAAAGTATCTCTGTTTACAGAATACAGGATGTTTTTATTTGTGAAGCAGATTTTCTTCTTCTGTCATTCTGCGGGTGTGTGTTTCTCCTCTTACCTCCCACCCTTATTTAAAGAAAGAAAAAATGCAGTATTTATGGACAAACTGGATGAACACCAGTTCAATGCTGTTGGATGCTGGTGTGCTGTGACTTACCCCTTCCATTTTAAGCCAGTCTGTAGTAACAGAGCAACTTTTCTAGAAACTAACTTTTCAGCAGTGATACCAATTAATTTTATTGGATTAAATTTGCTATTGCTTGGTTCCTGTACTTGTCAAAGTAGTACCTAATAGCATGCTGCATGGTGAATCACCTTTAACAGAGAGCATTGCTTGTTGCCAGTTTAAGGGAAAGGCAGAAACAGCTGTAAGCTTTTCAAAAATATGTTGTAGCTAGGCACCAGTATAGCTTTTAATGGGTTTTTTTAGTGCCGAGAAGGTCTGGAAGAGGTGACTTTCCAGTCTGATCTGGAGACAAAACTTTTTTTAACTCCTGATTTGTGTGAATTTGTTAGTGGGGAATTCACCTAACAGGTGTCTTCATAACTTTTTTCATCCAAGGAGCTTGGAAAATTTTGTTGTTGTGTTATCGCTGTTAAAGAACTTTCAGTGCCTATTACCACTTTGCCATAACCAGAGATCAAACTTTGATGTTAAACTGATAGATAATTTGATCACTAGAATTGAAAACTAATGCAGAGTAAAAATACATTATAAATCCTTAGCAGTGATATTAGTTAAACATTGGGACAAGTTACCTTGAGGTGTGGGCCTCTCCCACCACTTAAAGCTTCCTGTCTTTCAAAGATGTATGATTCGGAAATTGCTTGTTGACACTAGGCCATACTGCTCCTTTCTTCTCACAGGACTATGCATATTTTTTTCTTAATTTCTGTCAGGTGCCCCAAGCTCTGAGAATAGGTATTGCTGCCACTTACCAGGTGGAACTAGCACAAGGTGAAATTATCCCTTTAGAAAGTGCTCTTGGGCCAAGTGCAAAAGAGATTTATAGTTCAATTTTCACTGTTTTGTTTAAATCCCATAATATATAAAATAGTAACTGAGTTTCAGTTTTAGATAACATATTTGGTGTGCAATCTACAAGTAGAAAATATGCTAAGGCTCTTATCTCTTGGTTCTTTTTGAATGCTGCCATGGTGATGGCTGGTGCAGGCAGAACAAGAATTTTGAAAGTTGGTAAAGAAACCTAGTGATGCAAATAAGAATTTGTACTTGATATTATCTTACAGACTTCAAATAGTGTTATAAAACAAGAATATTAAAAAAAAATAAACAACACTACTTCATGCATGGTTGAGCTTTTTACAGGGAACAACTGAATTTTAATTGTTTCTTTGTTTCTAAAGGCAGCAATGGAGAAGCCAATTAATCACCGATTGTTTGTGACAAGAATTTTGCATGAGTTTGAAAGTGACACATTTTTTCCAGAAATTGACTACAAGGACTACAGACTTCTCACTGAGTAAGTATCAAGATGCATGCTAGTCTTGTGTTCAGATGGAAGCCTTAATAATCTAACTTGAATGTGTAAGGGTACTATTAAGGCCATGTTCTGTTTTGAGTTAGAAGTACTTTTCGCTGTATTTTTTCCCCAGAGTAATATTTTAGTTAGAACCTGGAATTGCACCACACTCAGCACAGAGAGGGTGTTGGAACTTGCTATGTTCTTCAGCCTTCCCATAATCTTTACAGTAAAGAATTGCATTTGTCGGTTTGCTTGAAAAGTAACTTTCTTACTGTTTCTAACTTTAGAATTACTCAGATATTTAGTAAGCTTCATAACTCTCAGTATGCTGTTAGTCAATGGTATTTAGCCTCTGAATGTCTTTGATAAATTGCCAAAGACAAATGAAATGGGTTTGAGCAGGGAGGGTTGAGCCTTTATAGATTCCTAAGGTTATTCCTTTCTCTTGACAAAAATTACTTCTTCCTAACAAACTTAGTAGGACAAGTATTAAACTGTTAAGTTTCTGCCATTCACTGTGGTTTCTTCTATGTTATCGTTGTCATATTCCAGTCCATATTCCATGTCCTCTCCAGCGACATTACTACATCTGACGGGCAGTAGGGAGGTGGCAAAAGTTCAAATGTCTGCCTCAAGAACCAGCAAGGAAAGGGCCTCCTCCTCTTCTTGCTACTCATGTTTTGGTTCCCAGCTGGTTACAGACCAGCAGCAGAAGAAATAGAAAGTATGGCAAGTCAAGGTCTCTACATGGGGCACAGGAATGGATTAGCACTGAAATGGGGGAGAATAGGTAGGGGCAGGAAAGAGGGATGCGGGAGAGACAAACAAGGTGAGTGGGGAGGTTAAGCCACCTTTTTCAACTCCAACATGTTCTGAACTGCTCTGTGCCATAGCATGAGCCTGCTTTAGTACCTGGATGTCTGACCCAAAGCTCCCCTCTCTCCCTTTTGGCTGTTTCTCAGGTATACATTGGTTTTGGCCAGTGTACTGAAATCAGAAGTTGGCCTTAAAACATGAATTTACAAAATAGCAGATAATTCCCTCATTAAAGTGGAAATCTGATAGAGTCAAACCTAGCAAATAAAATCTAAAATGTCTTTTTCCCTCAAAGTCAATATTCCTCATACAAAATCCTTATTCTGTCACAGAGAGCTGAAGAGACTTTTGAAGGTGTCTGTTAACAAAAACTGGTTTAGTAAATCTTGAACATAGAGGAACATTTTGCATGGTAGCAGTCAGCTGCTTTGAGAAGCTGTTGTAGACTTGTAAGAAACCTTTACCTTAGCATTTCCTCCAAACCGTCTGAGGAAAAGCAAAGCAAAAAAACCCAGAAGGGTTCTGTATCTCTTCTGCCTTTGCAGACATTTTAAATAATGTGTTGGAGGCTTTAATAAAAATGTTGGAATTTTTTTTATTAAGCCAAAAAGGTGGGTGTTTTTTAACATCAGGGTATGCTTTCTTGATTTAAAAAGATGTGTGTACAAGTTGCTGATTGTAGTTAACATGATTCCTAAAAATAGTTTGTACTTAGTATACCTGTGGTAAGGATGGTATTTCATCTCCTTTTTCAAACAACTCTTTTCTAACTGATTGGATAAATTACAGGTGACTCATAAGGATATTTTTATCTACTTATTGGCTTTGCTTTTTCTTCTCCCCTCTCCAGATACCCGGGTGTCCCTGCTGATATCCAGGAAGAGAATGGCATCCAGTACAAATTTGAAGTGTATGAAAAAGCTGTCTTGGCACAATAAATGAAGCTTTCTGTACTTCCGTGTAAGGGCAGGCATTTTAAATCATGAAGTCTTATTGAGTGCAAATATATATTAAATTGTTGGGAGAAAATCCTGCTTGATAGTACAATACCTCAGTAATGAATTATTGTAAAAACCACACCCCACACTCTGAATATACACCCTGTGGTGGAAACATGAAGGTGGTTAGCAGCATGAAAGAGGTAGCTCTAAGGAATACCACAAATAAGTTTGCATGAGACCTTGTATTGATCTTTACAATCCATGGCAGCATCCCTAACAATTCCATGAGTAAAAAAAGTCATTAGACTGTGTCAGAACCTTTCTACCTAAACAGAGGTTTTGAGTATCTCCTAATTCAAAACGTCCAACATTGGAAAGCATCAAACCCCTGAGTTTAACTGAGATGGTATATAAATCTATAACAATTTTAAAACATACTGGTGTAGAAGAAAAGGTAATCAAGTTTGAAAGCATAACAAAAGAAATGGAGCTTGGAAGTCTCAGGCAGCAGTTGAGGGATACATTGATCCTTCATGGAAGAATCTGACTGCATTCAGCCGACACTGACCTAGAAATTAATCTGATAAAGAAGTTTTAACACTTCCATTAACTTCCATTAACTTCACACCTGTGTAAAGGCTTGCTGCTCTTGTAACAAGATGCTATGTCAGTTTGACCACAGCCACTGTGCAGTGTAAGAACATAAACATTGCTTTCTTAATGGCATCTGTGTTCCTGTGTCCCTTCTAAATGTTGTCAGTGCAGATGCAGGGCATTAATTTGTCGGTGTGATTTTGAGTATTGTGTCGCATGCAAATATGGATTATAAGCAGATAGTGTGGCCCTGTTTCCTCTTTCATTAAACATAGCTAGTATAACAATGTTTTGCATTGCTGTTCCCTAAAAGTAGTGAGCAATATACTGGTACTGTAGTAACACTGTGATTGTAATGGCCTACAATGCCAAGTGTTGACCAAAGTTTATTGTTGCCAATATTATCACAACATTATCAGTAATATTAGTCTGTTGCTATGTTCTGGCTGTGGGGAGTTGTCAGACAGCAGGGGACTCCATATATGAATGTGCCATGGAGGGGAGCTAGGATGAACCATGCCCATCTATGCTTCCTTGTGCGGCAGCTGCCACCCTGGACTGACGGCCTGCATGGAGGGAGCCCTGCCTCCCTTTCATTGCAGATCAGGCTGAGACCAGAAGAGTGAAAAGAAGAAAGTCTCAAAAACAAAACAGAAAAAAACCCTCAAAACTCTGCTGTTTCCCCAAAGCATTTTGAAAGCATTGTCTTACTAAGCGGTATTGTGGGAGATTCAAGCAATAATGCCTGTCCTTTAATGTCAGACTGAAGCCCAGTTCTAACGTCAGGGAGGGCAGCACTGGTGGTCAGCAAGCTTTACACAGGTTGTAACTGTACAGACAGAGGAGCATAGCGGTGCCTGGTTTTCTAAGAGAAGATTAAACCTTGATTTTTCTTGCTTTTGAAAAATCAAACCTCTTTGAGAAGAGAAAAACACTTAGAATATCAGCTATGAACACCTCTTGAATTTTCCATGGCAATTTACAACATTTAACTGATAAAAGATAATTTTTGCATCATCTGTCCTGGGTTGTCTCAGTTTTCTCTGTGTTCCTTTAGCATTCTTAAAAATGTAAGTACTTTCCTGTGTTGATCTTATTGCCCCATGTGTGCTGACTTTACATCAGTCAATAAAGATTAAAACAACAAAGTTATTTGCTTGCATAATACAGGAAAAAGTCTCCTGAGTTTCAATTTGCCAACACATTGTGAAAGGGAAGGAAAAAGACTGTTTCCAGAGGGATGTTATTTTTTAAAAAAATACAAGTCACAGTGACCCTGACAAGAGAAAACAACCTCCCCAAAGCGTTTAGTATGTACCAGTTAGTATCAAAAACCAGGTCACTGTTGAAAGCTCTGCACAGCTAGTCTGCAAAGTACAGTGTTTATGGCAACTGACATTTATTAAAAGTGGAAGAAAAGACTTCATGCAAAGTTAGCTTATGCTGTGATCCCGATGCAAACATACATTAGAAAATTTCTGCATAAGCATACATTGCCGGAGATGCGGTGCACTGAAGCCGAAGTGTTTTGTAGAACCACTTTGGTTGCAAGGAACTTGAACTTGGATGCAAACAAGCCTGCTGGGAACATAAATACTTACTCTGACTCTGTGTGGACTGAGTTAGTCCTCTCCAGATTTAACTATGTTAATTTGTCAAATTCTGCAACAAATTAGGTCAATTTATGATTCATGGAAATGAGAACTTTTGAAATAACACAGCAGCTTCCTACTTAAAACTTTCCAGAACATACTAATGATGCAGCTTCTTCGGTATGCTGCTCTGCCAAAGAGATGCATTTTTGTTTGTTTTGGTTTTTGTTTTAATAAAAGCACTGCATTTGTACAGCACCTTTTGCATCGGAGCTTTTCAATATGCCATGCAGATCCCAATCAAGAATTAGGAAAACACATTTGATTGCAGTGAAGTTGGGTCCAAAAGAAGTATGTTCATCCTAAGACATACCAACCGCTACAAGGTTAGATGCTTACTGTTTTGAGAAGATGGATAGGCAGAAGGGTGTAAGTCCGTGTATTCAGGAAGCACGTACAAAGACTGTTTGCTGGCAGGTGTGTTATTTCCAGAGGATGGTTACTTTGCACGTGTTTAAAATCTGTGCCCTTCAAGGACACCTCAGCTTGTTCATCCAAAAACAGACAAGAAAAATGGTTGCTGTCATCTTCTAAAGGCCAGATTTACTAGCCAGAATTGGTATGGAGCCTAGCTCAGTTGGTTAGAGCGTGGTGCTAATAACTCCAAGTTCACAGGTTCAATCCCTGCTCACTGCAGGGGGGGGTTGGGCTTGATGATCTCTCAAGGTCCCTTCCAACCCAAAGCATTCTGTGATTCTATGATTCTTCAAAAGCAATGCTTTTGCTGGGTGACAGGTTCGTTGAAAAAGCAATAGGTCAAAATAAGTGTTTGCTGTTCACCTAAATTGGGCATTGCCCCTGTTACCTCCCCATTTATCAAGGGAAATAGAAATGTTTTATACTATGGCCTGAAGAAAAAAACCCTTTGTTCCAAATACAACTTTCACACGTTTTGTTTACTCTTACACCTCACTGATCTATGATTCTGTGAAAAGCCATAGATTCTCATTATGTCTAGTACAGGGGGAAATGTCTTGTTTTTCCTCAGTTCCATGCAGCTAAGTGCAATGAATAGTGTAATGAGTGACAATATAATTACCAATCACCAAGAAAAGTATATTACAGATATAATTTAATCCCCCTCATTCATGCTTTCCCAGGAACAAAGTGTTATAAACAGATTAAAAATTTAATTTTTAAGAATCGTACTGGTTTTAACAAGATAGCTAAAACCAGAGGGTCTGCATAAGAGGTGAAAACCAAACCATTAATATTTCTGTTGCTTGTCTATTAATCATGATCTCTCTTACCTGACAGTGGACACCAATTTCCATTTGGCAGTAGAAAGCTGATGTTTTCAGTAGCTCACCAGTAGTGTTACGGCTGCAGTGTATTCAAGGACAGAATTGGGAACATTCCAACAACAAATGTCTGTCATGGAGAGCAATCCATGGAGAAGAAAGGTACACATGAAATAATACAAGTTTCCTGATTTAGCAAACAGAATATTAGTATATATACTGAACACCAGAGGAAAACAGAAATGGGAAAATGACAGTGATTAGCTTATGCGTGTTACCCAAGGAGAGCATCAGGAGCGCTTGACAGGCAATCTTAATTGGGACCAGACCACCACATTGTCTTCATCAGACTAAAGCTAATTTGCCAGAGACTTAAACCTAAACCCAAACTAACTCTGAGTAGTTTAAAAGCTGTGCTAACAGAAGAGGAAGATAATGAGCAGGCAGCAGCGGATTCAGAGATGGGAGAAGCTGTGGGAAGGGTTGGTTGGTTGTTAATCAGTGCAGAAAATGGGGTGACTAGAGGTGACAAGTGAGGTGATAAAGCTTGTTTAAGTATGAAACTAGGAGATACTTCCTTCTTTATTCAGTTGTGCATCAACTGTCTCTGCTTGCCCAGGAGGGCCATAGCAATGAAGCCTAGCAAGTCAGGGTGGGCTGACTGAAAAATCACGAAAACCTTCTAAGGAGGCAGGTTCTGGAACAAAAGAGTGGAAATGGGGAAGGAGAGGTGAGAAATGGAAATTGATGTTTCCTAGAAGGATTACATGGTTTCTGGTGTTAGTTTGCCCTGTAACTATAATTACTAAGGAAACACTTTCAAACTGCTGCAGGGTTTAGCACTTGTAAGATGCTATGACAAAGAATTTCATTAGTGAAGGATTTTGAGGATTTGGATGTCTGTGTGACTGCCTTTCTCAGCTACACAGAAATCCTCAGCTACAGTTTCTGTCCTGAGGTGCCTGCACTACATCTAAAAGCAAGAGTCCTGTCCCAGAGCATCCAGTGGCCCAAGGGTTGGCATTGTCCCTAGGCTGATGATCCGCTGCTTCTCTTGGTGGACAGCATACGCTTCTAGGACTGCATATGGGAAACTTGCCAATTTTTCTTGCTCTTCAATTATGAAGACTTGCTTTCTGCTGCCTCTGGGGTAATCCTGGGTTATTGTCTCCTCTATTTTCTGTCTGCAGATCATTCCATCTCCTTTTGCGTAACATCAAAGCAAAATTCGTACAAGAAGTCTTTTATTAGATTAATTGATGTGGTTGGAAAAAGAACAGACAAGCTCTCAGGCAGAGTCCTATTCTGGTTGCATTCTCAAGACTTTTTCAGGTGACTTGAACAAGGGCTTACATGCCAAAACTTGCCTGCTTATCTCCAGTTAAATCAGGTGGTTTAATAAAGCAGATTATCTCACCATGTAAATCTTCTTTTGCTCATATCTTTTAATGGTCTTGGCTACAGCACTTGTGTCATCGCCTTCAGTCCTCAAGCTATGGTCCTCTCAGTTCTGTCCCTTATCTCTTCAGCTGTCCTCTTGGATTGGAAATTTACAGAAATTCAGACAACTGTTCTGATCAAGAAAAGTAGGTATTTCAAATAGAGTGCTCTTTCCTGAAATTGGGACATATATTTGCCTAGTTAAGGAAAGCTTTAGGTATGAAATATTTTGCTAAATTGTGTCTCCTATGAAAAAACACACAGAA